TTTAATCAGTTGATATTTTATTATAATTTATTATTTATATGTGTAGTTAATAAAACTAAAAAGGGATAAGAGTCTGAAAAATACCCCAACTTTGGTCGGATTTGTTGTTGTGATACTAAACTTTCATAAGGACCTATTACCTCTCTAGACTATTCAATACCGTATTTTTTACCCCCTGAACTATTTAATAGTGTATTTTAAATGTATATATGTGCCCACGTGGACACATTACTATTTATAATTTTGCATTATTTTTTATGTCCACTTGGGCAAATATATATGTTTAAAATACAGTATTAAATAGTCTAGGGAGGTAATAGGTCCTCATGAAAGTTTAGTATCGTAACAGTAAATCCGACCAAAGTTGAGATATTTTTCAGACATTTATCCCAAACTAAAACTAACATAAAAATAACCTAAATAATCTAACAAAACCCACCCCACACTCCCACTCCCTCACATTTTCCTCCATATTCCACACCCGACACGATACAACCCACTGCCCCACTCCTACACCTATCCTAATTCCTATATAATACACCTACACACTACTAACACGGAGGGAAAAAAAGATATAGATCATTAGCAAAGAAAAATAGAAGGGAAAACAGATTTTCAGCAACATACTTCTTTCTCTACGCGTACAACACATACGTATTCGTCCTCTTATTATACATATTTTTCTCCACTCACAAATAAAGGTTGAGTTGGAGGTTTGCTTTCGTGGTTTCAAGTTCGTGGTTTCCTATTAGGATTGCTTTCTTTTCGTGAGTTTGATTTTCGCAAGAGGTACTATTTAACATTTATTTTATAATTTGATTTTCGTGATTATATAGTATTTAATTCCAATGTTATGAATTGGCTCAAATTCTATGCTTGTTCAACCTTTTCATTATAATATTGAAATATGGTAAATATGTGTATATTGTTAAATTTAGAATAAATTTTGTATAGTATCGTATTTTGATCTTTATGTCTAGTATCCGGTGATATCGTTCTTGCTCCTAATTTTACCACACAAATTCATATTCTGTTTCTTTTTGCTTATTTTTAATATATTTATTTGTGGATTAAAGCATGAACAAAGTTATTTAAATGATTCCATGTATTAGGTAATCTATAAAGTTGATTCCGATAGTACGCCTTACTTTTCTCTCCTTATTATTTTTAGTATTGATACTTTAGTGTAAATATGCATTTAACTGTTTAAAATATAGCCTCTTTCGTTATTAGCCTAAATACGTTAAAATAGTAAAATAGTTTATGATATTATTGGATGAGGGATTTGTGAGGTAGAATTGATTTGTAATTTGGTTTATGCTAGTGTTAATTATCATCTAAAGTAGGCTATTGAATATTATTTTGAGAAAATAATTGTTGGATTGATGTACAATGCTCACTATTTTTATTTTTTTCAAATAACAAGAAATAAAAATAAAACAAAAACAATATAGACACTACCTGCCTACATATACGACACAACAAATAAAAAATAAGAAAAGAGAAACAGAATGAAAAAAAAAAACAAAGAAAAGAATATAATAAAAAAACCAAAAAAATAAAAAATAAAAATAATAACCAAAGCAGCAAAAATATTTTTTTTTAAAAAAAAATAAAGAAAAAAAAAGGTTAGAAAACGGACGGAGGCACAAAACCAAGGAAGAAAAAGGAAAACGTACAATTTTTTATTTTTTATTTTTTGTTAGATGAGTAATAATAATAATTAAATTTCATCTCAATTAAGAATGTGGTTCCACGTCTTTTTGAGATACTTAAGAAACTCAAGGATGCGGTTATGCACCTTGGCCAAATTCAAGGATGCGGTTACGCACCTTGGCCAAATTATTTTAATAATTAATTTTGTTAATTCAAACCAAGAGGTGTAAATTGAGATTATTAGGTGTGATGAACTTGAGAGGGGAAGACAGTTATGTCTCCAAATGTCAAAATCGAGAATGCAGTTATGCATCCGGTTTAAGACTAATAAAAATTCAGCAATTAAAAAATAAGCAAATCATGGCCTGTAGACACAATATATCCAAAAATAGTAAAAATAAGTATATGTCAATAAAAGCGACAGTGCTAGAATCACGAGACTCGAGGGATGCCTAATACCTTCCCCTCGGTCAACAGAATTTCTTATCCGAATTTTTGGTTTGCAGACCAAAACTAAAAGAGTCATTTCCTATTGATTAGGGATTAGAAAAGGTGACTTGGAACACCACAACTCAATTCCAAGTGGCAACTCTGAAACAAAATAAAATAATCCCTAAATCAATAACGTCACTTAAATTTGAAAAACCCTTCCGTCGCGCGTAAAAAGGGGTGTGACAATATATATAAGAATTGTTGAGCCAAAATTACATAATACAAGATATGAGTTTGGACTGTGACGAAATGGTCAAAGATCAGAGTCGTCTAACCAATCTTTCGGAGAAAAATATAATTTCACATAATATGCGTGTTTTTGGGCTTGATGTTGGTATAGCCCAAGGGACAATTAACGTACAAGTATTGTAGGGTCAAAACAAATAATACGTGTCACGAACTTGGATTACTGTAACGATAATTTCTTATTCCCAATTTTTTTCATTGGTTTATTCAGATCAAACGAAACTATGATGACACAATGTGGACTAACAAAAATGTGCACTATAGTAGGTCAGGGAAATATTATTTTTATTGTAATTTTTTGAATCTGTGAGATGACTAGATCCAGTCTATGAATATACTATACTTTAGATAGACCAACTATATACAGAATCATAATGATTAGCATTAACTCATGGTGACAATATTTTTTCAAAAAAATTAATATATTTCCTAAAAAATTAATATATTTCCTTTGTTTTATTTTTTGGATTTTGTTGTTCTTTGTATTTGATTTTCTCTGAGAGCTTATTCCCCTCTTAGCCGCCCGTGTGCCGTGTGTTCGGTACGGAGAAAAATATAAATTTTTAAAAATTGTTAAAAAATCTGAAAAAGATAAGTTTCTTAAAATATGATTTTCCGACAAGTTCTACAAGTGACGTTCGACATTAATTATTTTTTTCTTGTGTCCGTACAACAAACTTAAACTTCACCCCGACACTTGTAAGTTGTAACCTTCACTTTCACCTCCAATAATATTTATCTATATTATATATAAATGCTTTAAAAATTATTGAAAATGAGTTGAAAGAAAATATATTTTTCGTGCAAAATATTTTCTTTTGTACCAAACCCACCTTGAATTGTTAACACCATATATCACTAATAATTACTTGAATCCGTTTTTTTTTTTAATTATTTGTATTCGCTCAAGTTGTAAACATTAAGTATTTTCTAATTAAGGTTGATATGTATAATTAAATGTGATATGTCATATTTTATATAGTTAACTTAGTTATATATGTAATAGACAAGTGAAACTATGGGCAAATTTTTTTCGGAAACTTGAAGTGAACCTGTCTCTTAGAACACTTTATTAAGACTTAGGAGCTAATGTGTTCAATTGAAACATAATTTAATTCGAGTATCTAAATAAAATATGCTAATAAGCTTAAGCGAGTGATTCTATATTAAGCCAAATTAAAACCTGTAGACAAATATTCAGACACTGATTTAATTAAGTGTGGACAACATAAATTATGGACATCAGTGAGAATTATTTAAGAAGAATTTTTGGACTCTTTTGATGTGACATAGCCACAATTTTTCCCACTAATATTAATTTTGTTGTGGATCTAAATTTGAATCAACTGACCAGTTTGTTTCTACACAAGGTGGTTAATACATAAATTAAAAATAAAAGAGTATTTTTTTTAAAAAATAAATATAAACATACTTGTATCTTCTTGAATTTTAAAAAATAATTGTATGTACATCGACTAAAATAGTTTTAGTTTGTTTTGGTTAGTTTTCTGTTCCTCCAAAAAAGTGTCTTGAGATGTCCAAACAGATCGACTTATTTCTTTGTCCCAAATTATTTGTCATATTTCATTTTCTTACCGTTAAATCATGTGAATTTTGATTAATATATAATCTAATTTAATAGCCTCAAACACAATTAAATTGACTTTCAAGAAGTGAAACGTGATTTAGGACGGAGTGAGTATTACACAATTATGAGTTGCATTCGTCGAGTCTCTTAGTTGCATGATCGCTTTGTTCAGAAGCTTGTGTTGGTATTAGGAGGTAGTTATTTTAACATTTGGGAAACTCTTAAGCTGCATTTTAACATTTCAATTTTCTCATGTCAGTGTTTTGCAAAAATATTTTTTCTAGGAAAACATCAAACATGTTTCTTGAAAATGAGAAAAGTGACTTCCTTAAGAAAATTAGGGAAAACAAGTTCTATAAATGACAATTCAAGTTCATTATCTCCTCCCCACCTGCCCATTACCCTCAACACCCACCTGGCTACCGCCAACCTCGCTCCCCACCTCACCCATTCCTATATTGTTTTGCGAGATTATATATAAATGTTCTAGGGATAATATCTTCTTGCTTACTTGCACTCTGTTTCTATGATTGTTTGTTTCATAAGGTATTGTATTGTATTTGTTTGTATCCAGGGGCAGACCCACCCTTATGCAAGGGTATCTAGCGACACCTCTTTGCCGGAAAATTATATTGTATATAGAGATCAAATTATATATATATAGATAGATAGATATATAAGTATTGACACCTCTTTACACAAGTTAAATGTATAGTGTAGTGGTTAAGGTGTTATGAAAATCCTTGAGGTTGTGTGTTCTAGTCCTACTAGTCAATAAAATATATAACTATGCCAACGATACAATACAAACCATCCAAATAATAAGTAGGAAAACCATTTATTTTCTAGGAAAACATATTCCTTTCATACTGAACACCCGACGAGCTGGTTAGATAGATCAGCTCTCAGAAACTGGTAGTGTATGCAAAAACTGGCAAGACTTTATTGAAAAGATTGAGCTGCATTTTGACAATTGTAATATCCAGCACTATTTTTGGTGCTGGAAAATAATTGAATAATACTTATCACATTTAATTCAAACAAATAAAAGAATATATATATATGTATGAAAGTGACCAATAGATGTCACTTCCAATCCTATACTATAAACAGTAGGATCTCTTTACCTTTGAACCACTTTGGTAACAAAGCAAAGAGAATATGATCATAATTTACAAACAAATAAAGATTTCAAAAACGAATTGGTAATCCATAGTTGAGAAATGTTCTAATACATCCATCCAATCCAGCAGTAACAACCACAAGACCCCACAGATGAGGAGAGCTCAATGCACCTTGCCAAGCATTTTTCAAGAACTTGTACTCAGACTTGCATACTGAAGGGAAGACGGTTACTGGACTCGAAGAATTAGGCAGTTTCTCCTCTGGCCATGTCGCGGAGCCCTTAGAAAGAGAGTCTACCAAAAATGTACGCCCTAGGGAGAAACAATCGGAGGTCCTTGGCAGTGAGTTCCTGTTGACATTTCCGTTTTCTAAAATACTTCTAGGTAGCGTTCCTGGATTTGTGTTGAAGCCGGACCAAGGTATGGCAACTGATGCATTGTTAGAAAAGAAACTCTCTGATGACCGGACTTTTTTCAGTTTGTTTGTTCTCCGGCCTTGGTCAGCGTAGTTCCAGATATGTACATTTGAATCCTCAGTAACTGCGAGAATGTGTTTCCCGTCTGAGGTGAAAGATGCAGGAAATTGGTTCCCTGAATTTCGAATTCCTGGACATGCAGCAAACAATACTTTCAGAACACAATTCTTACGTTCTCACTGGCAACCAGCTTGGTGCCAAAAGGAATTCACATCAAAGGTATCAGACACACCTTTGAATTTGCAGATGATATTGGATCTACAAAGTATTCTAACTTGCGAGTCAGCAGAAGTTACCATGACTTTGCTAGAGTCGCTCGGGCAGTACTGCATGAAGTTCTGTTAGAAAATTAAGATTTGTCTAGAAACTTCTAGGTTGGAGATATTTTTGTACTAGATATGTTAGAAAAGTAAGAATTATCTAGAAACTCCTAGGTTGGAGATATTTTGTAGTAGATATGTTGGTCTTGATTTAAAATGTGTGGTGGTTAGTGAGCCACATAGGTACATAGTTTGGTGTGAGATATTTTGCTTATTATGTGGTTGTAATTCTCACACTTTATCTATAAATACACCATATGTAATGAAACATCTTGTGAAAAAATTGAACTCAAGAAAACTTAAGCCTTCTGCTTCAATTTCAGATTTTCTGTTGCAATTTACAGCTCCTATTTCCTATTGTTTACACCTTGTAGACCTGAAGTTCTTCTTCATTTTCATTGTAACATGGTATCAGAGCCTATTTCCTAAGGGATCTGAATCAAATTTTGTTTGTTTCGCTCATCTACTTTCTGTTCTTTCTTGAATTTGCTCGCTGAAAAAAAATTTCATGGCACCTGAAAATCAACCAACGACAGGTCCTCCGACTTTTACCGGAGAGAATTATCACATATGGGCTATCAAAATGAAGGCTTATCTAAAGGCTCTCAACTTATGGGAAGTTGTTGAGCTTGGAGAACCTGCTGTCCAGCCATTGAGAGTTAATGCAACTCTCAATGAAATTAAGAAGTATGATGAGTTGGTGACTAGATCCCCACGAGCTCTCACCTGCATACATTCAAGTCTTACGGACGTGATGTTTACGAGGATTATGACTTGTGAAACAGCCAAAGAGGCTTGGGATAAGTTAAAGGAGGAGTTTGAAGGCAGCAGTAGAGTAAAGTCTGTTAGACTCTTAGCATTGAAGAGAGAGTTTGAGCTTTTGAAGATGAAAGACTCAGATAGTGTGAAAGAATACTCTTCAAAGCTGATGGAGATTGTGAACCAGATAAGAATACTTGGTGAAACCTTTCCAGATCAGAAAGTTGTAGAGAAGATCTTGGTCAGCCTTCCAGACAAGTTTGAATCAAAAATCTCAGCTATTGAAGAGTCTTGTGACTTGACTACTCTTACAATAGCCGAACTAATCTCCAAATTGCAAGTCCAAGAGCAACGGGTCAGTATGAGAAGTGAAGGGATAGTGGAAGATGCCTTTCAAGCAAGGCATAAATTCAAACATCAAAAGGAAAGCAGAAAAGTCTGGTTGGATAAATCTGGAGAGGTAAAATCTGGTGGAAACCAAGGTGATTTGTCGATAAAAGGAAAATTTCCACCTTGTGGCATTTGTAAGAAGACAAACCACTTAGAGAAGAATTGTTGGCAGAATTCAAAGAGGTCTCCAATTCAATGTAGATATTGTAAGAAGTATGGTCACATTGAGAAGTATTGTAGGCAAAAGCAAAATCAAAGTGGCCAGTCTTCCCATCGAGTGAATTTCGCAGATGATCACCAAGTTGGAAAATCAGAGGAGGAGGTTTTCATGGCCTCGCACACATCACATATTGACCAATGTAAATGGTATATTGATAGCGCGTGCACAAGGCACATGGCAATTGATGAAAATCTGTTTGTTTCCTTGGACAGATCTGATAGAACCAAAGTGAAGCTTGGAAATGGCGCATTGGTGGAAGCTCACGGTAGAGGGTCAGTAAAATTTCCTATTGACGAAGGTACGAAAATTATTAATGATGTTCTTTATGTGCCAAATTTGACACAAAACTTGTTAAGTGTTGCTCAATTACTTCATAAAAATTATTCTCTTAATTTTAAGGATAAACAATGTGTCATTCATGATCCTAAAGGATGTGAAGTAGCTAAAATTAGCATGATTGACAATTCCTTTCCAATTTCATGCTATTCTATTGATACTTGCTCTTTTAATATTGAATTGAGTGATACTTGGCTTTGGCACAAAAGGTTCGGTCATTATAATCTTAGCTCACTGGTGTATATGCAATCAAAGGGTATGGTGCTTGAAGTACCCAAAATTGACATGTGTAGAGATGTTTGTGAGTCATGTCAATTTGGTAAAATGCGTAGACGATCCTTTCCTAAAGGAAGTCTTTGGAGAGCTAAGGAAAAGCTAGAGTTGGTTCATACAGATTTATGTGGACCAATGAGGACGGCTTCTTTGAGTGGAAACAAGTATTTTGTTCTCTTTGTAGATGATCTGACTCGAATGACATGGGTCTACTTTCTTAGTAGCAAATATCAAGTGTTTTCTGTTTTCAAAGAATTCAAAGCTATGGTAGAAAGGGAGAGTGGCTGTAAATTGAAGTATATTAGATCCGATAATGGAACTGAATATACTTCGTATCAGTTCAGCAAGTATTGTAAAGATTTGGGTATCCAACAACAATTCACTGTTAGCTACACTCCACAGCAGAACGGGGTTACTGAGAGGAAGAACAGAACTGTAATGGAGATGGCGAGATGCATGTTGGCAGAAAAGAAGATGCCTAAATACTTTTGGGCTGAAGCAGTCAATACCGCTGTCTATTTGCTAAATAGATTACCAACTAGAGCAGTCCAAGACATGACACCATTTGAAGCATGGAAGGGTATCAAGCCGTCTGCAAGACACTTGAAGGTATTTGGTTCGGTATGCTATGCACATGTTCCTGATGCTAAAAGAGGCAAATTAGATAGCAAGGCAGAACTGTGTGTTCTGTTGGGCTATAGTACAGTTGCAAAAGGATACAAAGTGTACAATGTTAGTAGTAAGAAGGTGTTTGTTAGTAGAGATCTTATAGTGGATGAGTCTAGCCACTATGATTGGGATCGAGATATTGTTGTGAAGAACCAAGGTGGGAATACTTCAGCTGCAACTCCACATCAGCAAAAAGGTGATACTCCCTCTAGTCCTATTTCTGGAACAAAAAACAATTCAGATGTTGAATTGACTACAGACTCTCCTGTTTTGAAGACCAAATCACTAGCAGAAGTTTATGAGCAATGCAATTTTGCTCTTGTTGAACCATCCTCATTTGAAGAAGCAGCAAACCACAAAGTGTGGATTTCAGCAATGAAGGAGGAACTTGCCATGATTAATAAAAATGATACTTGGGAGTTGGTTGATAGGCCAGAAAAGAAGAATGTTATCGGTGTCAAATGGGTCTATCGAACAAAGTTCAATCCAGATGGCTCCATCTTCAAGCATAAAGCTAGACTTGTAGTTAAAGGCTATTCTCAGCAGCCTGGAGTGGACTTTGGAGAAACGTTTGCTCCTGTTGCACGGCATGAGACAGTAAGATTTCTAGTCGCTCTCGCAGCACAATACAAGTGGAAAATCTTCCATTTGGATGTAAAATCTGCATTTCTCAACGGAGTGCTTGAGGAAGACATTTATGTTGAACAACCTGAAGGTTTTACAGTTGCAGGTGAAGAAGACAAGGTGTACAAGCTTAAAAGGGCTCTCTATGGTCTTAAACAAGCCCCAAGAGCTTGGTATAGTAGGCTGGATTCTCATTTGCTGTCACAAGGCTTCATCAGAAGCCTAAATGAGCCTACTTTGTACTTCAAAAGACAAGCGGATGGGATGTTGATTATGATATCAGTTTATGTCGATGATTTGATTATTACAGGTGAAAATCCTCTTGCAGTTCAAGAAGTTAAAAATGAAATGCTAAAAGTTTTTGAGATGTCCGATCTAGGAGAAATGAAGTTTTTCCTGGGAATGGAGATATCTCAATCTTGTGAAGGAATTTTCTTGTCCCAAAAGAGGTATGCCTTGAATCTGTTAAAAAGGTTCAAGCTTGACAAGTGCAAAGCTGTTGCAACTCCACTTGTTGTGAATGAAAAATTAATGAAGGATGATGGCGAAGAGAGGGCAGATCCAAAAGTTTATAGAAGTCTAATTGGAAGTCTATTGTATCTAACAGCTTCTAGGCCAGACATAATGTTCGCTGTCAGTTTGTTATCTCGATATATGCAAAGTCCCAGCACTAAGCATTTTGGAGCCGCTAAAAGGGTGTTAAGGTACATTAGAGGGACGATTAATTATGGAATCTGGTATAGAAATGTGGAGAATGGATCTCTTATTGGCTATTCAGATAGTGATTGGGGTGGATGTTTGGATGATTACAAAAGCACTTCTGGTTACTGTTTTTCGTTTGGTTCAGGCATTTTTTCTTGGAGCACAAAGAAGCAAGATATTGTAGCACAATCTTCAGCAGAAGCCGAGTATGTGGCTGCTGCATCTGCTACAAATCAAGCAATTTGGTTAAGAAAGATCTTGTTGGAATTGAATTTGTTGCCAAAAGAACCAACAGTGATCTATGTGGACAATAAATCAGCCATTGCGATGGCTGAAAATCCGGGGCAGCATGGAAGAACAAAGCATATCAACATAAGGTTTCATGCTTTAAGAGATGCGGAGAAGAATGGTGAAGTTAAGTTGGTACATTGCATCAGTGACGATCAACAGGCTGATATTCTGACCAAGGCTCTTTCCACTAAGAAGTTTGAGTTTCAAAGGTTGTTGCAAGGAGTTTCAATGAAAAATCTTAAGGAGGAGTGTTAGAAAATTAAGATTTGTCTAGAAACTTCTAGGTTGGAGATATTTTTGTACTAGATATGTTAGAAAAGTAAGAATTATCTAGAAACTCCTAGGTTGGAGATATTTTGTAGTAGATATGTTGGTCTTGATTTAAAATGTGTGGTGGTTAGTGAGCCACATAGGTACATAGTTTGGTGTGAGATATTTTGCTTATTATGTGGTTGTAATTCTCACACTTTATCTATAAATACACCATATGTAATGAAACATCTTGTGAAAAAATTGAACTCAAGAAAACTTAAGCCTTCTGCTTCAATTTCAGATTTTCTGTTGCAATTTACAGCTCCTATTTCCTATTGTTTACACCTTGTAGACCTGAAGTTCTTCTTCATTTTCATTGTAACAAGTTCACACATCAGTTCTTAAGCACATAAAAATATAAAATAAGCACGAGTTCTTCTGGTGAAATAAAATTGAAAGCAAATGGTTACCTGAAATCCAGTTATTCTCTTGCGAGCAAGCTTCTTCTTTCCTGGCAGGCATACTTGTGAGCCCATCTGCAATTGATTACCTAACCCAAAGGAATGATAGCAGAGTGTCAATTGCCAGCAAGAGTACATTCAAGCGGAAAATATAATTAAGCTATCACCAGGACTCAATAAAGAAAGAAAAAAGAATTAAGTCATGGATATAATACATCCACCATGGCACATCTGCCTCAAGAAAAATTTATCACAGAAGAAAAATCTCCCAGAACATTCTCATTTTAGGCATACCATAAGCACTTTTCAGCGATGAAGTGAATATTTTCGCATCCGTTTGACAATGCTAGAGAGCACACTGGAAGGATCATAAAAGTTTATCTTTGATAGGTCCAGCTCTACCAACTACCCTCTTTCAACAATAAGGGGACCAAGATTGCCAAAATGGGAATATTTGGCAACCTTTGTCAGATACAGAGATTTCACTATTTCTTTACTATGAAGCATGTTGATCATTTTTCTAAAGCTCATACTGAAATCAGGTTATTAAGTATCCTTTCAGGTTTATGCTCCAAGAATTTGATTTCTATTCTCCCATAGCATACATTAACAATGCATGTTGTCATTGACATTTCTGTAAGTTCACCCATACTATCAAGTATTAACTCAACTCTTTTAAAAGTTCCCTTGAATTCAAGCCCTATATCAGGCAATAAGAAAACAACTTACAACTCATTCAGCTATCTAACCTATGTCAAAGATACCAGACGACGTGAATTAGAAACTAAGAACCAGCGTCTTGACTAAACTTCCAGAAAAAAAACTAAACTCTTTTCTAGCTAAAATGAAAAATATTAGTGCTAAACTCTTCCTTGATATACAACTTTTTCACAAACAATGAACTTCCCCATATTTGTAGCATGAGAAGAAAGAAGCATTCACTGTGCTTGTATATTCATATGCAGAATGCTTTTATAAATAGCAATTATAGGTTGGGGTTGGAAGAGCCACCCTCGACAATGTAAGTGGGTGGAGAGAGAGCACTAACGACTAAATTCAAGAAAATCTAAAGATCATTTTATGTCGTACGATTCATCTACCTAGCCCAACCACTTACCTCCCAACCCCCATACCCACCACCACAAACTGCAGTCATTAAACCGGTATGTTATCCGTATATCATAGCTGATAGCAAACCATAGACTTTGCTAGAACATAAAGGCTACTCAAGACCAGAAAGAGATAAATTGCTAATCTAATCTACCCTCAAAAGAAATGGTTTCTATCACCTCTTTGCCCTCACCTCAAAAAGGGGACGGGCAAAGAGGGGGAGAAATTTTGAGAGAATAAACATGCTAACTCATCTCGTAAAACACAAAAATAAGTGTATCATAATAACACCTCCACGGAGCATAATATACAATAGGATATGATATATTCAGTTCCATGAAAACCAATTCCAGATAATTTAAACAAAAAACACAATCAATTTCCAGACTTATTAGTTTATTAGACATAGGAGTGAGGCCATATCAGCTTGAGAAGGGGAAAAAAAAAACAAAGGGCAAAAAGAGAAGGTATGTCCTTACCTATTACATCATAAAAACGACAATTGCCATCCATGGATCCCACAACGCCCCCCTGGATCAATTAAAAGCAATAAATCAACGAAAGTCCATAAAAAGATGGCACAATATTTGAAAAGTGTAACAGCAATGCAATCAAACCTTTCCATCAGGACAATAACAAACAGCAGTCACTATTTCTTTTACATCAGTCCAATCGATTACTCGGCAACCATGCACCTCCCAGAGACGTATTTTCCCATCTATTGAACCACTAATGAAAAGGTTATCATCTGTTGGATTGAATTCTACACAAGTGACTGCATAAAGATCACAACATTGACATATTGGTAACATGGTCCTTTACCATTTAAAAGATTATTGAAAATACTTTAATATAAGGAGTAACCACATACAGTCAAGCTCACCATAGTTATTATGTGAATAAACGCCAAGGCATTGATCTTGCCCCACTTTCCAGAGACGAGCTGTTTTATCAACTGAAGATGACAGCAGATACTGCAGAAAATGATGTTCATTACCAGAATTACACTGTGTTCACATTGGAAAATATTATAGGAGGCGACAAAGGACAGTTAGTGTAATTGCGCCACAAAGATATTATACTGACCCCATTTCTGGACCATGAAAGGGCCAAGACCTCACCCCTGTGTCCATGGAACTCATGCAATGGTTTCTCCAATATCCGGAAAATCTTCGGTGGGAGAACGACACAAGCTGATTCTGGTGATTTCCTCATCATTTTTGACACACTAATTTTCTCTTTGTTGTCATTCAGAGAAGCTAATTTGGACATAGGAGTCAGTGAGAAGTATAAACAAGAGGAGTCACCATCATGTGCATTCAGGTTGTTTGGAATTTCATCTGCAATCACCCTCCACATGCGCACCGTGCCATCTTTGCCAGCACTTGCTAGATACTGGCCACAAGGACTAAACTTCATTGTTGAAATTGAGCCCTCATGTGCTAGGAACTCTTGCCCTGTGTAAAGTGAGGACAGTTCTTTTGACTCCTTACCACATGTGTGGACCCGAACTCTCTGAATGTTAGTACCTGTCTTTAAATTGGATTCCTTGCCCTTCACTTTGTCCCCCATTGACTTCACCTTATTATGAGTTGCAACAGTTAGCTTTTGAAGCCAACTTCTTTTAGTTTTTGTCTTAGCATCAACTGTATCAATTCCATCCGGCGCTCTCCGCAGATATTTCTGAACCAAGGGCGATGGCCCAAGAGTTCTATGGAACTCTTCAGCAGTGAACAACTTGTTTGAACCTACTTCCCGTACTTGGCTAAGCATACCTTCCTGACTAAATTCATCCACAACAAACTCTACTCCGTTGTCCAAATTCCTAATTTTCCAATGCAATCTTACTTCTGCTGCACCATCCTCATCCAACTCCAAAGCTTCATTAGAGTGGAAAGATTGAGAGGACCGACCTGAGAAACAGCTTTCTTGAGAATCTGAATTTGCCAGCACAGTTTCACCGCCATCCCTAATTCTATCAACACTCATCCTTCTGTAATGAGTAGTAACACCACCCTGTTCTTTCCCATCAGGTCTGTCCCAACTTGAACTCGAACCTATCCACTTCAAAAATCTATCACGCCGTTCATCAACACTTTCTGGATCCTTATTCCAAAAGTCATATCCTAAAACACACTCGTCACCCCAATTATGAACACACGTCTCGTTGCAATCAGAACCCAAATCAGAAACAGAAGAAATCTCTCCACGGCTATCAAAGAAACATTCTTCTTCAAACTCACTATAATTCCCCATCATCCTTTGAACTCAAACTACAAAAACTAATCCTTGAAAGAAAATAAAAACAAATTCAGAAACATCCATTTAACAATCAATCAATCAAACAAACTAATGGGGTTTGACAAGATATTAACTTTCCTCGTAATTCGACTATTTTCAACAAAATTGAATTCCCTATCAAATAAAATAACAAAAACAGCTCAAAAACCAAACACAATTCTTCTATCCAAGCAAAAAAAAATCCCAAAAATCCACAAGCATGAGCATAACCATTACTCCAACAAAAGATCTTGTAAAAGACTAAAAACTGATAAACCCATAATTCACAAGTGCTTGAATAATTCATCAAAAATCTGAAAAGGGGTTCATAATATACAATCAAGAAATGGTAAAAACACAAAAAGCAACAATTTTCAGCGATTAAAGACAAGATTTTTCATACCTGAACTGCCATGTATTATGAAAAAGAACCCCAGAAAAATCAGTTCACCGAAAAGCTGATATACTGTTTAACATCCACCGGAAAAATCAAGACTGAACACAAAAATTGGAGAAATCCAAACAATCCCTAGCAATAAAATTAGAAGAAAAAATAAGAGTCTTTGAAGAAATCTATTCCGAAAAAAATGAGTCGTTTATTCTTCGCTCGTTTCTCTCTTTACTATTTTTGGCCTTTTCAGTCTATATAATAGTTATAATTATTAGTTGACAGTTTTAGCCCCCAAATTGATGTGTCCGTTCAACGAACTGTCGTGACCCTCCGTTTTAATTTATTTATATGACACATAGTTTGAATAGAGGCATTGAGTTTAATAAATAAAAGGGAAAAACACATAAATACATTATCAAATAATTATAGATGGTTCACCCATATTGTTATGAGTTTATTATGTTCGTGTTGTTAATTATTAAAGTAATTTTTTTTAAAGAAGAAATATCATGTGTCATCCATTTTAATGATCCACGTAAGGATGGTTATAGAAGTGTGTAACAATTCACCTTTTGAATTAATTAGCTTTGAAAAATGACGTTTAAGTACTCGACCTACACCTGACTATCAGGGCAAGTGTTAGGCCCCTAGAAGGGTGTGGCGATTGAAGCAAAATCTTGAACGTGAGCTAAGGCGAGCGTCATCGGTACAAATTTTGGTGATAGTAACACATTTTTTAATTTATGTCACTTTATTTTAACTCATTTTAATTGAATTTATTTTATGCTAAGTGTATAGTTATTTTTGATAATTCAATGATATATTTGAGCAAATATCATAGTATTTGTGTTACTATGATCACTCTAAAACATGTTATAAAAGCTTATTATTAAGGTAAAAAATGAATTTTAAAAGTTAGATACATATAATTAAAACAGAGGAAGTATATGAAATAGAGGATTTGTCTAATTTAAAGTTTTGAACCGAATTTTGTATGTATATAGTCAAAGGGTCATTTGATTCAAAATAAGTATTCAAAAACTATGATTCAAAATTAAAATAAGATTATGCTATTGAGATTGTAATAATCTCAATTCAATATATGGTAGACAATACCAAAATTTTAGTCATGAAATTCAACAAGTTTATAATCCACAATTTGAAATTTTATTAATTAAATATTGAGAGAGGAAAAAAAACTTTTAGAAATATTTGAGAGGTTTCCTAACAGTATGCTTACGTTTGTTGACTAAAATTAGTCAAGGAATAATATTATACTCCTAATATATTTTCCATTCTACAATGTACAAACCCCCTTTTGAATTTTCATCAATTGGATGGGCATGGTATTTATTTATATCAATTACGCGTTAGATATTAATACATAATTTAATTACATGATGTAATGTTTGCAAAGTCAAATTAAAAAAAGTGTGTGAAAAATAAATATTATGCATGTTACATGCAATACTCACTCTAGAGTACTCAACTCATTTATATACTATTTTAAATTAAATATTCATTTTTATGTCGAGTAAATAAATAGTATATAGTTGATGAAATTGGTGAAGTGTGTTTAAATCAATTCAAACATGATTATTGTTAAAAAAAAAAGTATGTAATATAATTAAGGGAAAAATAGCTAAATTTTATACATATAAATTATAATAAATGTTCGTTTATATATTTTATTCAATAACATGGCCAACTTGTTTATTAATGAGAATGTTGTGATACATGTAAGGTAACCCATGCTAAACGGTGCATTACTATCTTTTTTTTTCCAGGTAATTTACTTTTTCAATAAGACAAACTTTATTTGCATTTATTACGTAATATATTTATTATATTCTTTAATTTAAGTTGGGGCCAAAGCCACGTGATTAGTTGCCTTTATTCTTTATGGTTTTGATGCCCAACCAACATATTCAATTAAGTTTTTAATTATTATTTTTTATAATCATTCGATATTTTATAACTACTTGTTTTAATTAGTTTGAATTTATATGTGTATGGTTCATTTAAAACAACGCTTCCGATAAAACAAAACAAGGATTTCTAGCCTTGAGATTGTCAAATTGAGTTTGATAGAATACAATAATTTTAATAAATTGTATATATTTATGGAAAAGTATGTTCAACATGTATTTTTAAAATATGTCTTTTTTCTTTTAATTATACACATTCATCTCAATAAGTTGTAAATTTCGTAAGATTTTTTTAGTTAAAATTGATATATTTAATTAAAAGGAGATGACATTTTTATGTGATTATGTAAACTACATAATAGACTGATGAGAACATGTACAAAGTCTTTTATTTAAAATTTGAATCGAAAATGTCTATCTAGAACATTTTATTATGAATTGAGATGTTTAATTAAAATATAACTCCGTTCAATTATCTAAATAAAACATGACAATTTTAAGGACAAAGTATTTATTAAGCCAAGAAATTTAGTAAGTCAATTGGTGATCAACTAACTACCACCGCCACTTAGCCAAAAACATACAACACATGGCATGGGACATTCACAATTATTATTATTATTATTATTATTATTATTATTATAAGTTTTGGTATCAATTTAAGTTTTTATTTGGCAAAAAAATTTCAATACTGATAGCTGGAAAAACAAAATCTACGTACGTATTAAGTCTAGAAATATTCTAAAAAAGTATGAGATTTGTTTTAGAAAAATTATTTGAATTTAGTCCAAAAAAAAAAGAAAGAAGAATATATATTACATTATGTTGAGAGTGTTGTTTTAATCAATTAACAATTACTTTCAGAGCTTAGTTAAGATTTCTATCGACAATTTATGATTAAGTTGTCACATCATTTTCCACAAAGTTTGATAGAAAATTTGATGTCTAAATATAATTTTAAGTCTATGAAAATTTAAAATTAAATCATCTTATTACATAATGTGATTAAGATGTTGAATATTCAACAACTAAAAGAGTAATACCTAAATCGAATGTCACAAGTTCGGATATTAATGATTATTTGACTAGTGTTGCTCATTTGAAATCTCCTCTTCTTCGTTAATTAGGTAAAAAGAATAGTCCAATGCATAAAGTGAGATATTTAGGCAGAACTAAAAAAGAACTGCACACTGAATAATATGATATAAATAACTTATCTTAATACAAATATTAATATTTTTTTTTCATATTTCGACCCCGTGAATATCCTAAACCCTAAACCCTTGAACTATGTAGAAAGGGAATAAAAACGATATATATATATATATATATATATGAAATGCTCAAACAATGAAATTTAAAAGTAAATAGACCAGTAGACGTTGAAAGGGCATAGGCCCATATATAAGGGTGATCCAAGTGTAATAAGGACCATCATGGCATGTGGGTGGTGGTTGAGAGCCTATTCTAATCAAATCATCAACTTCTTTGTCTCTAATTTAATAGCAAAAAAAATTGAGTCATACATATTATTAGCACAAGAAATTTTTACATCATTAGATAGGAGAATATGAAGATCGAAGATTAGAGTTGAAAAACAGTAAATAATCAAATGTTGTAGAATTTGTCTTATCAGTATTATTATTAATACTCTCTTACTATTTTATTCAATAATTTTGTTATTACACGTTGTTTATTTGCTTTGATTATCGTATTTTTTATTGTTGTTTATTATAAATAACTTTTATATCTTCATAATATAAAGATAAGGTTGTTTACCATCTTCTCCGAACCCCACTTATAAGATTACACTGAATATGTTATTGTTGATTATCCTTATCGTTTGTAGCAAATACCTATCGTACTTTCAATATTATAAATCTTTCGTTTCAAAAATATCTTTCATTTGATAAATTATCAAATGGTGAAACCAAATTTGTTGGTCCCCTAACTTTTTGTGTCATAGACTCACAGATAGTGTGGTCCTTTGTGAATTCTAGAACACAATCTAGAGAAAATATGTTTCCTAGTTCCTACACTTGTGATTCTTTTGAGAATTTGCTTGACCAATCTTATCATTAGTAAGCGTTTGGATACAGATTTGTTTTCAAAAAAAATAATATTTTGAAATCGCGGTTAAAAAATAGTATTTAATTATTAAAATTTTATTTGAATATACATTTTATTTGAAAAAGAAATATAAAGTTTTGTGGACGAAAAGAGAGTTTTTTCACTTGGAAAAATAGTTTTACTTGTTGGGCTATGGCAGATGAAGCATTGTGACATTTAGCCCAAATCTTAGATAATCCATGGGCCTACTAGTGGTATTTCTGGGCCACTATACAGATGTTGATTTGTGCTTTTTGATCACCATTTAGATTTAGGTAACTTACAAAAATGTCACTAGTTTAGAAGCTAATTACTTAGATATACGTTTGTTTATAATATTACGAAATTTATCAAACTTTGTATGTCCAAATACATGTATCTCGGGATAGATGGGGTCAAAATTATGTGTATTTTATTCTAGATACATTTATATACATAGATAAATCTCGCTCGCCATTATATCTAAGATGCATAGACAAATCTTGCTCGTCTCCCTCCTGTTCTCGCTCGCTTCTCTCCCCTTTTCAGTGTCTAGTAGGAAAGAACATAAATCTATGTGTATCTGACTTGAAATATGGTTTAAAATTAT